TGGATTTGTTCTTAACTGACGAGGGTGAGAATTCTTAATGCTTGAGTCCTCCATGTGACCTAAACATGATAAAAATCTTAAATACTATTTACCAAGTGGATCTGGGGCACAACATGACCAAACAATATGACAGATGCCGATGTGACCAAGGCCACAAATTTAGGTTCCTTACACACAGTAATATACACATAACATCCTTTCTTCTCCTCGTCCACCAACAGTCTTAACTGCTCCTTCAAGTCCACTCTGATTTTTTTGGACACCAGCTTCAGCACTGCTGGTCCTTGTCTCCACTTCTAACAAGGCATTTTCAGCATTATCACTCTTAATGTTAGGGCTGAAGGTGAGTCCAGACAAACATATGAATAGAACCACACCAGCCATTATTCGATAGGTGGTCTGTCAGCCAAAGGCATCAATCATAGTCTGCAAAAGGGGGCCAAGGACAAGAACCCCTCCTCCTTTCCCACATGAAACAATCCCAGTTGCCAATGATCACCTCTGTTTGAAGAACTTGCTAATGATATTAAGACTTGCAGAGAACACACGACCAGTGCCAAATCCATAAAGGACACTAGGTGAGATACAACGTAAGAATGTTTCTCGCCAGGAAGGAGAGGCCAAGGCTTCATGCGCATAAGAATCCCCCAAGTAAAAGAGTGGTAGTCCGGAAAAATTAATGAGTACCGTGGTAAGTGAACCTACCCAAGCTGAAAAAGAAATAATGTACAAAAAGAAATCTTACAGTCAAAAAGAATTTGTGGTTAATTTGATACCAAGGGATAGGGCTGTCCACATTATGTTCGCCCAACAGGGAGGCAAAAGAACTGAGTGTTTTGCTAGCCACAGGTCCAAGTCATTGTATTAAGTTAAGTACTGTACTGTCCAGTAACAAATTTCAAATTTTCTTCTAGACAAAAACATAGCTTCTTGTTTTTTAAGCATTGGTGAAATCTTATTTCTAAAGTATCTTCAGATGCCTCACTGGATGAATCAAGAACTGAGTAAAAAATTCAGAAAAAAAAAACAACAACAATGTACACCATATTGGTTACCGTAAAATTCGGAAAATAAGCCCCGGGGCTTATATTGTTCAAAAGACCTTTTTGAGGGGCTTATTTTTAGAAGGAGCTTATATTCGGAAGGGCTTATTATTAGGAGGAAAATTTGCGTTTCAAAATTAGCTGGGCTTATAATTGAAGAAAAATTTGCGTCAAATTTTTTTAGCTAAAACTGCGGCCCCCAAAACTCTATCACGACTTGCGTAAATATTTCACAGCTTTGCCTGTTCCCTTTCGTAAATCCAGCCAAACCTTTGTGGTATGTGGCCATCGAAATAGCCGCCAGTATGGCTTAAATACAGGCGTTTAATGTATGTTTGTAAAACTCCCTGAAGAAGTCTACGGTAGTTAGATGAAATGCGTCGGAGAATAAACAAGTTTTACAACTGAAGTTCGCAGAGTGCTGCTCACTAGTTTACCTTTTAAAAAAATTGTTTTAAAAAAATTGCTTCAGCACTTGTTGACCACATTGCTTTAGTGCACGGAATCATTCTTTTATGACTAAAAAAGGCTCCCTGATAATGGTGATTATGTGTAGTTTGCTTTGGTTTGTATAATTGAGGATAATTTCCAAATACAAGCCCCCAGGGGCTTATATTTGGAGGGGCTTACTATAGGAGGTATTTTTGCGTTTCAGATTTGGGGGGCTTCTATACGGAGGGGCTTATACACAGAGAGGCTTATTTTCGGAATTTTACAGTATTATCATTTAACAGTTTATGGCCAAGTAGTAATATTATATCTGTTGGATGTATTACTCTTAGTATTGCCCTTATTAGTTGTATTATTGTAAAGTAGAATAAGTTCTTGTTGTAAAACGAAAGAAAAAAGAAAGAAAGAAAGAAAGAAAAAAAAAACAGTTTGCGACACCTTAAAATGTCCAGCAGCATCAGATTCATATAAATGAGGGCAATTCAGTGCAATCTTCCATTAGATGGCAAACAAATTAATAAAGAATACTAGTGATGCTCTTTCAGCCATTTCACTTGTTCAGCATAATAATGTCCTTTGTGATAAAGTTTTCAAGAAGTACCAGTGACCTTCACTAGAAAAAGTAATTCCTTCTTTGAAGGTTCAAGTGAACTTCCTCATTTAAAACTTTGCCAACATGTCAATAATTACATTCATCAGGCAAGATTAATTTATTCGTTAACCACTTGTAACCCAAGCCAAATTTTCATAACCTCATCCTTCCAAAAAGATTTCGTGACCAACCAATAGGCTTGCGTGACGACAAACTTTCTGTAAAAAAAGAACTGTCTGACGACCATGTTATTCAGTGCATGAATAAAACCCGAAAAGAACTGCAGTTCTTCTGAAGAACATCACTGAACTAAAGCACGGTGTCTTCTTTAGTCTTGCAAGGCACATATCAATAATGAAATCCACACGGAAAGAAAAACAGGGGGAGATACATTTGCACATGATATCCGTTTTGGCCGAGTGGGTTAGGGCGCCGGACTTGAAATCCGCAGGTCGCGGGTTCACGTTCGGCTATCTGAGCACTTCTCGGTTGACCCTATTTCAGCTCCTCGGTCATGCTTGTAAATAGCCAAGTGCTCTGCCTCCTGCCAGTTGGGATTTTTAAGGTCTTTAAGGCCTATTTTATGTCCCGCTACTGTTTAGTTGGTATATTTGTTTCTTTCAGTTCAAGTGGCATGTTAGGTGTAGCTAAGCGCATTGAACACAAACAACATTTGGACAACGGTTCTTACACAGTCGACGTAAAACAATAGAGAACAAAAGGACAAAAGAACGAGAAAAACAATGAACATCAATGAAAACAATAGGTTTGTGAGGCGGTGTTGTGACCGGCAAGACATTCTTGGGCCTTTAAGTTGGTTTGCTTTTCTTAAATTTTGTGTTTTCCCCAGCAACCATGATGTATGTGTGAAACTTACCTGTTTTCTCTCTAGATTTATTCTTGAAAATAAGCCATGAATGCTGGAAAGAAAATTCCAAAAACTGAACATAAATCCCATAGCAGCTAGCCAAGAAACGGTCGCCGAGAAACAAACAAGCTACGACCATCTTCCATCCTGTACATAAGCCATGAGTTCAAAGCTGTGCAAAGACAGCACTTTTAGGTGATTTTTATCCGCATCATTTACAATAATAATGCTACAGCTCGGGGCGCCATAGGCCAACAAGACGCACTGAACGATGATAACAGCAGTGGTGTAATGCATGACGAGTGACTATAGGTCCGCCTAGCGTGCGATAGGTCCAACGTAAAAATTTGACAAATTTGTAAGATTTCCTTGCGTTTATGTGGAGATCCGAAAAACGTCATTGACCTGAACTTATAAGTAAGTGCTTGATAAATGGAAAAAGTAAATAATCCTCACAGCAAGTGACTCCTCGGTCATGTTGTAAATGGCCAACCTTCTGCCTCCCGCCAGTTGGAAATTTTTTAAAGCCAATTATGTTTAGTTGATATATTTATAATTTTTTTCAGTTTAAGTGGCGTGCCTGTGAACTAGCTAGGTGTAGCTATGCGCATTGACCACTATAAACAATAGCATTTGAACATTTGAACAACATTTGAAGTCACGAATTAGTTTGCCACTTTTTTCTAAATATTTTAAAAGTAAACGTTTGAAGTTGTCTTTCAGTAACATGTTGGATGGTTAAATAGACGGTTCAAATGAGGTCTTGAGCTACTGTTATTCTTTTAATTCCAAGCTTTCGCTGATCTACGGCATCGTCAGGAAATGTAAAGAAAATATTCCACTGTGCGTGATATAAAAAGCGATGTAGGTGACACGAATAATGAAAATATATAATAAGGACGATCTGTTGTACAAATGTGGCGGTTTCTTTAGTGTTCAAACATCGTGATATATTCAAGCCGAATTTAATTTTCTTTCAACTTGACATTTGTGCAATAAACAGCAATGGATGCTCGTTCAAGAGAGTTCAATTTTCGAGCAAATTCAATTTACTTTCAGAGAACTGAAAGCAACATGAAAAGCGTGTTCTCAAATTTAACTCGCCCAACACTATCCTTTACAAGATGTGTTACTAAGCCGCAGAGTCTTCCTGTCTGTCTTTTTATAGTTTCCAGTTATGCTTACCTTGTCAGCCACTTCCAGTCTCAGCCATTTATTTATATGTAAGATCTCGATCAATATTTCTCCACTACGGACCGAACAAGCTAGTTTAATAACATATATATCAACTTTTGAATGATTTATTTTATATCTTTTTATTTGATATATTTGCCCTTTTGCTGCCTGTATCGCGGGGATCATACGATACAATTAACTTCGGAGCCCCTTCACAGGAGCTCTATCTGCACGCGGTCAAGATTCACCGTTGTATTTTGTTTCTAGCAAGTTTTCATTAAAACACGCGGACATGCGCGGTTCGAGCTCTGGCAATGTTGTCTGTTTAATTCACAAATTTCCTGCTACGCGCGACTTACCACAACAATCCTCGAGAAAGTCAGGAAACAAGTAACGTTTTTAAATTACTCGAAGAGTTTTCGATTCTAGTTGTCCAACTTTGGCTCTTATTATTGTCACTATTCACCTTGGCAGACATATCTTATGATATATCTTGGTCTTGCAAATCAATAAATGTGGCTGCCATGGTTAAATAGTATTTTAACATGCAGATCGCCCTCTCTCGATCAACCTGTAGATTCCGGTTATATTTTTAGCCGTGTCATCAAATAAAAGTGTGTCCGGGGCAATATGTTGTCTTCACTGATCTGCTTTATGAAAAGACGATCACGTGTTAGAGAGTAAAGCAATCACATTTCGAGAATGTTCTTTAATTTAAGGCATACAACACACGCTGTGATTGGCTGTAAATTTGCTTTGTATAAACTTTCTATCAGGCCTTCTCTCGTGTCTGTATCAGTCTGTGTGAAGACGGGCGCTATTTTCAAGTTCGTAAATAAATTAGCTTAGTTCTCTAAGTGACTCGCCTAACTTGTTATTTATTTTATTTTATTCAATCTTTATTCATAACCTTCTCAAACAATTACCAGTTCTGTAAATATTACGCATAAGCCTCACCTCAAGATGGTCAATATAGATGTTCGGATAGAGACATTAATGCAACTAGAAAAACTAGATAATTTAGCTGATAATTTATTTAAATTGTACAAAGGGCATCTTCTCTAATGCCTGTCATAAAACTAACAAAAATACACTACGGCTGAAAAAAAAATTTGTAATAGATACTACGTTAAAGAACGTCAACAGATAAGTTGCGATAACGCCTAGCAAAAGTAAAACCAAAGCATACTGCCTTAAATAATACTTAAAAGGTTAGCATGCCTTCAGTGTCCTGATCAGAGGATAAACATATGCCTTATGTTTACAAATATACTGCGATAAAGAACGCAAACAAGAAATTATCTCTGAATCTGAATCAGGCTTCGTTACATTGTAAACTAACAAAACTATGCATTATAAGAGATAGGAATATATAGTGAAACCTGCATTAAGAGGACACCTTGTTTAAACGGACAGTGACTGCAGTTATTTCTAAACTATTAGCTCCATGTTTTTTTCCTGTAAAACGAACCCCTTATTAGGCAGTCAAGATAGTTACAATAACCAGACACTAGAGAATTAGAGTGTCTCGTGGGTGTCCGATAGTTCGCACACTGATGTTTATTCCTTCAAGACATTTAAACATCTTCAAACACATAAAAACTCCTTGAGAACTTGGTACTACCCTTGATCCTGCAAAAACCTTAGACATAACTTTTTCAACTTGAATTGTGTCAACTGAAAACTCAAAGCACTTCTTCTTCGTATACGTAAGAAGGTAAAATCCTTAAAAGCAAAGCTAATTACGATTGGTAACTTTAGTAAGATGGCTGGCGGAAATGACTTGAAGTACAAATAACTTAGTATTAAACAACTTGAAAGCAACTTCGGTCGCATCGCCCAGTTTACTTGCGAGGGGAAAGCTGTAGTAGGGAGTAACACAAAGTTTCGTGCTGTCCTCCCTTCAAGCAGGGTAAGTCACATCTTAATCTGCGGTTCCACTTTTGAGTTCATCTAGATCCATGTTCGATTGTGCAGTCTCCACCTGTTCGTCTTTCATTTCATTGGTACAACTGAACGATGATGCAATATTGTAATAGGAATGGGATTCATCCAGTTGATTAAAATCAAAATATGGAGTATCTCTCGTCATCATAACCTCCAGTGATGCCACAATTTGTTCAAATGTAGGTCTGCGTCTGGGATCTCCTTGCCAGCAGTTCAGCATTATTGAATACCTAAGAAAAAATTGATGTATTATGTGAAAGTAAGTGGTGCAAGAGCTTAAGTTCTCTGAAAAATCATAGATCAGGTAGTTAACCCAACTGTTACGTAATCATTTTCAGGAATAGGGAAAGCTAGATGCAGCAAAATTATATCCAGCAGTAATTTAAAACTGTCCTTTTAGCATTGGTAGAGTGCCTAAAATATACTGTGTACTGACAGCCGTGAAAAACTGCTAGATCTACATTGTATGTAGTATTTTGACGCAAATGAATGCACAAGGTTGTGATATCAAATTGAAAAAGTCGGCAAACTTTAGCTTTAAAATTATGTCGTCGCGTCTTGGGAAAACCACTAAAAACTAATTACAATTTGCTTTCCTATTGACAATTCACTTTCTAAGAGCTATTAGGGGAACATGTACATGTACGAGCGGAAGTACAGGGTCATAACTTAAGCGCTGCTTCGACCAAAATGCAGCACAATTGGCTGGTAGTACACCCTTTTATGGTTGCTAATAGTTAAACCTTGACAGCTTTGAATCTGATTAAAGTATGTAAGGTTGCTCAGTTCCAACACTTCCCACTTTGATTGATTAGTGCTGCTTCTGTTTTTCAGTTGACACCACGATAAAAGGTATCAAACAGATGCCCAGCTACAGGTAGCCTGCGAACGCAGACGTATTTCCGGCTGTCGCTTGTCTCCGCCGAAAATAACGTCTGCGAACCCGAGCCAGGAGAGGATTTCTGTGACGTAATGACCTTTGTTTCTCTTTGGCCAATCAGATTTTATGGTACAATGAAACTCGAGTGCTCCTCGCAGCGAATACCTCGCGCAGTAGTTCTGGGGTTACTTGAGCTAAACTGTGATTGGTTTAAAGTTCCTACGTCACAGAAATCGTTTCCTGGCTCGGTTCGCAGACGTTATTTTTCAGCGGAGACAAGCGACAGCCGGAAATACGACTGCGTTCGCAGGCTAAGCTACAGGTGAACAATGGCCAATTACCTCTATGCAGGGAATCACGGTAGTTATAGTCATCAAAACACATATCCAGTCCAAGATGTTGAATATAATAAAACCACCAAGATACTCTGCAGGCATGTCTCACAGAGGGAATTGGCCATTTATAGTTATTGTCTTGACATAACAAATTACCATAGCAACGGTATAAGCTGATGAAACCACCCTTAATTTTAACTCTGTGGTTTATTATAAAACTGAACCAAAAGGTGGAGACAGCAGAAAGCAAATCGTAATTTTAAAGAAGATTACGACATTTTTTAATTTATAAGACATGTTTCGATGTTACTAACATCATCGTCAGTTACAGAATATTTGAAAAACCGTTAGGTTTTATATAGTCCTAACGGTTTTTCAAATATTCTGTACTGATGATGATGTTAGCAAAAAAACATGTCTTATAAATTAAAAAATGTCGTAATCTTCTTAAACGTTATCATAAAATTGTAATGAGCATGTTAAGATACAGCCTTTTTGCCAATTTTTTTTTTAAATCGTCTTTAGAGTAGATTCAGAATCACCATAAATTTTCTATAAAGTTGTCAAAACGATGTCCAAATTTAATCAAAAACGTTCTCAATTGGCAACGGTGTGATGCGTAACATTGTAACGTTTTATACCACTGCCAGCCTGCCATGATAACCATCACGAAGACGTCCATAACTTATTCACTAATGAGGCTAATGGCTGCCCATTCATTTGATGCTATTATTGTGACATCAGCTTAAAACAAGAGGAAGCATTGATCCACCAAAAATGACGTACTGAAAAACGATGGAAACCTGTATGAGTCACCTTAAATTCGTTATTGCATTATCTTTTCTATTGACTTACAGTTCTTCTGAGCAGCTATCTGGTCTTTCCAAGCGATATCCAGTGTTAAGAAGATTGCGAAGTTCTTTGTTGTTAATCCCGGGATACGGGGTGCCACCTGCAACAAAATTTGATTCATAAGATAACTATTTTCTTCTTTATTTTTGGTTACTTTTCCAGATTTTAAATCTCACTCGTTAAGGACTCACCGAAAACGTCCCGAGCGATGCATTTCGATTGTAATAAATAGCGATTTCGACTGTTTCAAAGCGTGTGCAACATACCTAAAATTTCAAACAAGGTAATGATAAGTAAAGTTGTTCTTACCCATTGTGGATATTTCCCAAAGAAGAATGCCATATGACCACCTGAAAAAGACGCACAGTCACTCACACGATACGCAGTCTAGAATGTCGATAAGTTAACATTTAAGCAGACAATACCTAACCAACCGTTATAATGTTCGTGGCAAATATTTACTATCATAAGTGTTATATGAAGAAGTAACATACACATCACTCTGTGTTGTGTAGATACTATCATTAATAGATTCAAGTGCCATCCACTTCATGGGGAGTTTCTTCTGCCTCTTCACTTCGTATATATCTCCATCCGAGTAGCGCATCAAACCAAAATCTGCAATTTTAACAAGTTTGTCCTCTCCGATAAGAACATTACGAGCTGCCAAGTCCCGGTGGATAAATCCTCTGCTTGACAGGTAACTCTGTAGTAAAACAGGAAAAATGACAGAAAAATTAATCACTCGATAATGGTATCATCGATGTTTGCTGACTTAGGCAGCATGGAAAAGATGAGTGTATGCTCATGTGCCTGTACGTTTACCGAGCTGGTAGGCTAAAACTCTGTTATAATTTGTTGTAAAACAATTTGTTGGACCGCCTTTTTTAAAAGACAGTCGGTAAAAGATAATTCTATGCAACATGAACTACTCAATCACATCGTGCATTTTATATCCGAGACAAACAATCCAAGACCAAACTGTTTGGAGTCATGGCATTTAGTAATTTACGACGGATCGCCTGTGCGTGGCTTTTCGAAAGGCCAAAAACCTGTCTGACCAAACATTACATGATGCAGGCTGTTAAATGCAAGATGCAATAAATAGTTCTCACAATTTGGTCGAAACATTTTCCCACATTTTATATCTTCTTGAAACTGCTTATTCTAGCCATCACGTTGGTTTGTTTCTATTTTTTGGTTGCACCGGAGCACTCTGACGTGGGCAACTCTCTTGCCTCGACGCTTGCCAAGCAACATGATAAACTTGACTTATTTTACAATTGTTAACACTGAACTTCATTTGTCTGGAAGCAAACAAACTTAATTGGTCACTGCAAATTAAGTCACGTGTTAAATCGACTGGTCATCACTTACCATCCCTCGTGCTATTTGCCATGCGAAGGATAACATGTCTTTGGCAATCAGATCAACATCCTCATTAGTGGTCTCTTGCAACTCGTTGCAGGCCACTTCTAATGAGCGTTCGCTAAGTTGTTTCTCTTCCATCTGTATGAAAGGTTTTTCTTCCAAACTTTTGTTGTCTTCTTCATCTATTTCCTCGCCAAAGCTTTCAAATACAATTTGTTCCATCGCCAATCGGTCTGTATCACTTGGATTTTTTTCTATCTGACTCTGACGCTCACAATTTTCAATCATGCTATTTACTTCTTTCTTTTCATCCTTTCCAACCTCCTTTCCTTCATTCCTTTCAATAATGTATCGTTCTTGTTGATTCCCAGTCAAAATGTTCATCGTCTCTTGACTATCCGTATTTTTCTCTAGTTTCGTCTTAGCTGTATTAGGTGCCAAAAGTTCCATGCTTTGAAATAGGGGGAACTTTCCATTGTCAACCTATCAAGCAAAGAATTAACGCTTATTAGTCAATTCTTCCAGTAAACTAATGCAAATCCTGCAATCTGATTGGCTGAGCTATTGCTCATCTATCAGCCATTAGTGTATAGTGTTTGTATTCTTTTAACATACTCTCAGCAGTAGTTTATCTCCTTAAATAAGCAAACCTTACTTGTTTTCTCTTTTCCCTTAGCCAGTTGAGTAGATCCCCGCACGGAACATACTCTAACAGCAGAAGGAAGGGTTCTGACCTCGTCCAGAAACCAATCATACCGAGGACATTAGTGTGGTAACCAATTTGCTTCATGAGATCAATTTCTTCCAGGAACTGTTCTTTGTCTTGTTCATTTGCTAATGCTACGTGTAAATTGTTACATATCAGTCGGTAAATCTTATCAAACGAAATAAAGGGCGATCAGCTTTTAAGGAAGTAGTTTTTTCAACCGTTCTTCCAAACTATATACATCATGCACTGGAATATTTATGATAATAACTTTCTAATGTTTTGTACTGTGTTATTTAGATCGATGCGACCGGGTTATCCACATTTGTTTTTGTTCATTAGTCATTTATTCTACCTATTTGTTTACCATAATTCGGAAGTTTAGACACATTTCAATCTTGTTGGTAATCTTCATGAACAGTTGTTGGACCGTACATGTAGCTAAGCGTACATACCGTTTCATTCCTGTCATATAATCGATACAAGAAAGACCTTATGACGACTCGTCCGTTTTTTAAAATGAAGAAAAGTCTTTAAATGCGCTTCCCTTGCAAGTTTCGTCTCCTTTTGTTTTTTTCTTCAGTTTTTTTATTCTTTTCACGCGAGAGATTGAGTTTAGAGAATAGATTATATTAGTCGATCGGTTTTTTATGGAATTTTTTAAAGATATATTGGCCAAAACAAAGAATTGTATGTAGCAACATAAACTAGTCCAACAGACAGTATTTTTAACGCAAATACGTTTACCTGCTCTGTACACACAGATATTTTGTAAACTAGAAAAGGATATATTTTTACCACTAAGAACTTTCACAGCAATTGTTCGTCCTTCTTTGAACTGCACACGTGTCCCTCTGATATTGCCATCAAATACTTCCACTCCTGGAGAATCTCTCAGAACTGCTTTATGTACTTTCCCAAATGCCCCTCGGCCCAGTTCTTCCAGCAAAGTAACTTGCTCGGGCCAGACCTCCAAGTTCTGAAGAGGASTGATGTCTGACTTRGACCTAAAWARATRTATTGGGCGGTTTATTTCGATAAATTTGCTGGTACAAGTCGCTTGACGAATGAAATCTACAAATTTGAAGAGGAAGATAGCTTTATTAATGGCTTTGATAGTGCTTTTGGTGTCTTTGGTACGCTACAATTGAACTTATCCACTCACTCCTACGTGGGCGTTTATGGTAGCCATTGTAACCTCATTCATTGGCACGCCACAAGGTTATTTATAATAATAATTAAAAACAATATTATGATTATTGCAGTTGAAAAATCTGTATGTTAAATAACTTTGTCAGTTTTGGAGTCCAGGAGGTTGCTACATAAAATAAAAAAACACTTGCCATGAAATATATATTTTTGCAAACTTGTTGCGATGATGTCATCAGACACGTGTGGGGACAGGCATTGAACGATATAATTGGAAAGCACTACACATATTTCACTACACATATGCTCTATAGAGCATTTAGAAATGGCCACGTGACTTCTGAAGAGGTGAAAAAAAAGCGAAAAAGTGGAGAACTAGGTCGAGGCGTGTATCTTTTCTTGGTTTTAAAAAAAACTTACAAAAATTCAAACTTGCATGTTGGTAAATATTTTTATGAAGATACAGTCTTTGCAACCTTGTGGTTGTTACGTCAATGGTCACGTGAGAATTTTTTTTAGACGGCTTTAAAACTGCACTTCATTAATGAAGCATATTTATGTGTGAAGCTGTAGAATTTTAATACAGTTTTTGATAAGAGCCACTATTATTTTTTCCTAAAAAATTCTTGCAGGCGAATATTGTAGTTGAAAAGTTTGATTGCTTACTCCTCGAAGACTTTTACGGTTAGAAATAAAACGAAACTTGATATAAAGGTTCCGATACGTGCTCTTTCCATTTTCTGTATCTTAAGTGCTTCATAGCTGGAAGAGATGTAATTTTTGACATCGCGAGTGCCTGGGCAGAGTTGAATCAAAACGAGGCCGTTCATTTGGCGCCTTTTCAATAACGAGGCAACCTTGGCTGGTCACGTCAGCCTCATGTATCGGATTCATCGTGTTTCCAGCTCGTTGTTCGGTGATTTGGTCACTGCTTTTTCTGGTACCTTTCAATTTAGAAAAGGAAAAATTTCCTGAACAATTTGTTTTGTTGCGAATTGATTTTGTTTTGCCGTGAGTTGATTTTTTTTTCGCCGTGAATTGATTTTATTTGGCTGTGAGTTGATTTTGTTTTGCCTTGAGTTGATTTTGTTTCACGGTGAATTGATTTTGTTTTGATTTTGTTTTGCTGAGTTGATTTTGTTTAGCCGTGAATTGATTTTGTTTTGCTGTCAGTTGATTTTGTTTTGCTGTGAGATAATTTTGTTTTGCCTTGAGATGATTTTGTTTTGCCGAGAGTTGATTTTGTTTCGCTGTGAAATGATTTTGTTTTGCCGTGATTTGACTTTGTTTTGCTTTGAGATGATTTTTTTTGCTCCGAGATGATTTTGTTTCACGGTGAATTGAATTTGTTTTGATTTTGTTTTGCCGAGAATTGATTTTGTTTTGCTGTGAGATGATTTTGTTTTGCCTTGAGATGATTTTGTTTTGCCGTGAGTTGATTTTGTTTCGCCGTGAATTGATTTTGTTTTGCTGTGAGTTGATTTTGGTTTGCTTTGCTGTGAGTTGATTTTGTTTACCCTTAAATTGATTTTGTTTTGTCGTGAGTTGATTTTGTTTTGCTTTGAGTTGATTTTGGGAATTGATTTTCTGCCCCGGTGGGATCGCCACCTTGCAGTGGTGAGGCGGCTTGTGTGTCTCCAAGGCCCCGAGAGCTATGCCGGCAGGAGTCTTGTATTTCCGGCAGGGTCACCTATGCAGGACAGGTCAGAGGCTAGAGGCCAGACAAAGAGCGATCCCCTGGTCCTCTAGGTTTGGGGGTTGGGCGTAAGGCCAGCAACCTTACCCTATAAAACATTGCATATGCTACAGAAACGAGAACAGAGGTAGACTAACTGGTTGTGATGGACTTTCGGAGTCTCTGACTTTTATGACTGTCAACAGCCAAAACCTACTGGAAATAGTTGATACGAGGACGAAAGCCCTGAACACCAAAAGCAAGATACGCCTTGATTTCTGGAATGTAACAACAATGTTTGAGGTAGGAATGCTGGCACAGAGAGATGGGACAATATAAACGGAA